TAATAAACTAACCTCACACCAAGTATGAAGATTCCAGGAATTTTCACAAACAAAGGTAGCATAGAAACCTATTTGGTACGAATGGAAAACTGAAAACGTACTTATGAGGTACGAGTAGCATGATGTTTTCCAGCTTACACCCAATTAGGCTATTTATGCACTGCGCTTGACCCATTTATCTTGTATGACGTGTAAAATGAAAGATGAATATACCCTGGCAAAAACTTTAAACTTATTTTAAGGTTTCTAAAGTAGAAAACAAATTCAATAGTGAGTTTATTTTCGTAGAACGAGCAAAAAGTCTAGACGCTGTTGACCAATTTGAAAAATCTCCAGGGCAAATACAATCGTTTTGTTCTTCACAATAAATTGTTTGAATAGTGTTCGATCTGCCTCGCCTTTATTCTGCTCTTGACTAGTATAGTAAAATAAAACGGAAGACAAGTAGGCAGGCTGCAGCGTGCGGCGCGATTGCCGCCGTCCTATTTGCGGACGACCAACCAATTTTACTCTTTATTTTATTAATGTAGTGCTTGATTTTGCTTGAACGGTGCTCTGTTTGTAACTCATTGTAAGCGGGAGACAGGTAGGAAATAAGCCGCAATGACGGGAGTTATGGATGTGTGATACATGGCTACCTACCATGCGCTTTTGCAATTCTGCATTGTAAGGCCTAAGAAGTTTCCTATTGTTTACAGTAACTTGTATTTGAAGACAATCTACAGCATTTTACATAATGAGTTCGTGCTCAGTCTAAATAAAATTTGGTGAAAGGTCGCGGGTATTACCTGGTTGCGGGTAAAGCAGAACTGGTCGCTGTGGAAATCCTTAGAGGAAACCTTTGTCCAACAGTGGACCTGATTTCGCTGACACGAACGACTCAATCTATGCTCTTAATCAAAAAGATGACACTAAGGAAATTGACCCCAATATTGGCTGTCTTTACGATACCCAGTTCGGTCACAACTCACAAGATTGCATCATTTTGAGAGTGTGACGAGATGACTCCATTCGTCAGATGTCACGAGCTATTAGTGATCGGCGCGAGTTTTAGCCCAAAGATAATTCCGGCAAAACAGTTTTCGCAGGGATGGATAACTAGGCAGTTAACCAGGTCCAACTATAGGTAAAATAAAACACCAGGCAAGTAGGTAGGCTCGCACGACTGGCCTATTTGCGGACGACCGCGCCACCCACTTGTTGTGCTTCCGGACGCAGGCGCCGTCCATTGTGACTGCTGTTACATGGCCGAGCTAATTTACTAAATGAGGGTAAATGTTTTTTCGAGGCCTAGCTGTGATTTAACTAGCCGCTACGTTGGGAGTGGGTAAAACGGCGGTATAGTCGCACGCGGCCGAGAAAAGTATTGAAGCTCTACTGAGTAGTGATGTTTCGACATAAGAAGTGCAAAAGCAGCCCATTTAGCAGCAGAAAACGTCACGTTACCTTTGATTTGCATCGTATCTGTCTCTGTCCAAAGTGAAACATATCTGTATCTGTCCGTCTAAACATATCAAAGTCCTGTAGGATAACTAAGAATTGTGATCCTCACATGACCCATTAATAAAAATGGTAGCTCTATGCAGGTTGTGCTAAGTACACACACGCTCATTCGTAATCTTTATCCGGGTATTTATAAGAACTATTTAACTGTGAGCATCATCTAAACCTCAACAAAAATAAAGTGGTTTTCCAGCAGCCATAACATCCCTTAGCATCGCAAGAAACGGCAAATTTATTTTTTAATACAAGAAAACTTAATAACCGCTCATAACGATCGCGACCATAAAGTCTTCCTGTAAAATAATATCCCGCTGGATTACAAGACTCCCATGTATGTTTAAGTAAAGGCTAGCTGCACTCCCAGGCTTATTGCTGTTTGCTTAACGGAACAGACTGGTTAAGGAAAATATTGCTCCACCTAGATGACTCTGGTTCCACTTTGTTAAGCATACAGATAATTTTCACTCAAATCTCTTTCCACTTCCTCTGTGTTTGTACTGTTAGGCACATATTATTAATAAACCGATTTGTGTACATTTTTGTTGCTTTTGTAAAAAACTTGGGTGCTCGATGTTCATTACCATGTTCGTAATATTGATAGAGGTGCCGCGTAGATAATAAGTATTTTTAACGTAGAGCTAATAAATAAATCTAAAGTAATATTGAAGTGGAGGCTGCGTACCGGAAAACGCAGCGTGGGACGTCCACCCACAAGGTGGACCGACGACATTATAAAGGTAGCAGGAAAGCGCTGGACGTAGGCCGCTACCAACCGGGTAACATGGAAAGCATTGGGGGAGGCCTATGTTTAGCAGTGGACGTCCTATGGCTGAGATGATGATGATGATGAAAGTAATATTATAATTTGTTTTGAATAGGCTCTGAAAAAATATTTCACCATTAGAATCGTATATTCATGATGAACATAAGCGGTACGAAGTTCGCTGGTGCAGTCATGAATAAAACACACATTTTATTCTAACCAGAAATGGTTGTTACCCTGCCTGATGAAGACAGAGCTCCATAATATCCGGTCAGATACGGTACAATACCGCGCACAATTCCATTCGGCCTTCGAGTGACAACAGCTATGCTTGTTCTTGTCTCTATGTGTTGTGGAGATAGACTTCGACACAATATTCCTCATGTCTCATTAGTTCAGTGGTTCTTAACCTTAAGTCATAAGGGACCATTTTACCAAATTTCTGTGTTGTCAGAGACCACGGAAGGTTAGACAAACTTCGTGGGTGTATAGGTAAGGTCATTTTGAGAAGAAGAATGATTTTTTTTCAAATCCTATGAAAGCGGAGGTCGATTTCTCGCCCACTGCGCCGTTTGCGTTGTGTTGACTCGACTCATCACGTCACATCACTTGTTTCTTACGATGTCTTCGCGGACCACTTGGAATGCCTCCAGGGACCACCAGTGGTCCGCGGACCACCGGTTAAGGACCACTGCATTAGATAAAGGGTATAAGTATCATTAACGCAAAAACTGATACTATTACTAAGTTTGTTTTAGGTAAGTTTTTTGTTTTTATGTTATACTAGCGGCCGCCCGCGACTTCGTACGCGTTTTTCCCGCTAATTCCCGTTCCCGTGGGAATTTCGGGAATTCCTTTCTTAGTGCACCTCTACGGTACCTAAGCTACGTCCCTTCCAAATTTCAAGTGCCTACGTTTAGCCGTTTAGGCTGTGCGTTGATCTGTCAGTCAGTCAGTCAGTTTCTCCTTTTATATATTTAGATGGCTGATGAATTCTTTGTATACTAAGTATCCACCCAAACCCGGTCACTATATTGTGGACTCAACAGTTGTATGGACGTTGGAAAATCTGAATATTATTATGTCCATGTCATGGCGGAGCAGAAGACTATCGCAATAAGTTATCTTTTCTTAATCCATAGTTAAAATATTTCCAGAGGCACTCCTCTAAGATCCTACGGTGTCACAAATGGCCTTGCTAGGCCGGCACACTGGCCCTAGATTATGTATTTAATAATAGCGCAATCAAAATACAAAGGCTACATGCACCTAATAAAAGTTTTTCGATCCTTCTCCTTAGTATTAAGATAACAATAATAAAAATAAGTTTTAAACGCTTTACCTGATTTTTGCCTTTGAGCACGAGCACATTGGTGACTCTTCCGAAGGGTAGGCCGAGCTGTATGATCTCCGCCTCTGTCGTTTCGTTGGGTATGTTCCGTATGTGGATGACGCGGGACGGCTTGCCCACATTCTGTTCCAGTTTCACCTGCAGACGACGGAAAAAATGTTAGAATGATATAACTTTTAGAACTTTTGTAAACAATGTTAAAATTCATCATTGATATTATTTTTTGCTTTAGTTCGTCTCCATGTTTTAATAAGCATTTTTTTGCTTATTCTACTTGTAATTTCCTACAAATTAATTTACTAATTACATCGTGAGACAATTTCCCACTAAAACAAAAACACATCGTATTTTTGACCTAAATTTCCTTTTGGCTTTATCCACGGTCGTCCCGTGGTTGCATTTCGCCAACACGTATTTAACTAATTCCCGGCATAGCGTGCACCATCAATTAACGGCAACGGGCGAGTCTAAGCGGTTCGCAAATGACCGTTCTAATATACATAAATAAACCTAGCATTGTCTGCCGCCTGGATAATTGAAAAGTCGATGTAGTATAATTGTCGGGGCTTATCGGCCCAACCCCGATGTGGGTGCTATTGTTCCCCAGAGAGCCTTTTGATTACGGCGGGCCGGAGCGAGCCCCGAATATATTGTAGCTTTGTATGACACTCCACTTTCCATTCAGGTGAAAAGAGCAACCTGTCTGGTGACATTTTTACGTCACCAAATCATGTTGACATAATAAAAATAATGAAAAACGGTGAAACGGGAAAATCGAAACACTCACAAAATTCAAACATAAAACGTGCGATTGGTTCCATTTATAAAGTTAGAAGATACGATGTCAGCTGAAAAGTCCGACAACGTTCAAGTTGAGCAAGATTTGGGGAGTTGTGGACCATCTATCCCCCTTTTTTACGTTCTTTGGCGGGCGGCGAAGCGTGGAGGTGTAACAAATGAGTCTAATGCCTATTAGTTCGACCTTGTTAAGTTCAGACAAAGTGGGCCGCTCCGGCAAAAGTATGGGACAACTTGGACTACTTTGTAAACTGTTCTCATACAGACATCTTAATCTTTAACAACTCTTAATGAGTTTGATTTCAGTTGTTTCTCTTAAATATCTATTCGCCTTTGAATGTAGGTTGTTTCTCTGATACTTTTCGAATGTCTTGTTTGTCTTGTAGCAAAATCTTGTTCGCCTAAAGGACGAACAATTCATTAATAATTAATGAGCATCTACGAAATAAAAAAACATTAAAGCATTGGTATTTTAAACAATCTAAACCCTGTAACAATCGGTATCAAAGGAACCAAATCTCCGTAAGTAAATAAATAAAAATATTTTTTTTCCACGCCGGCGAAAAGGTAGGAATAAATCGTGGAACACGCTCGTTCACCTTGAGGGTACATTTCGGTATTTTTTCTTCTAGCGAAGGAAAACAACTGGTACGTAAAACGTAAAGAAGGACATTACTTTCGCTGGGTCAGAAAATCTGCGAGGAGCGATTTCCACATCAGACATTTTAAATCATCCGCTCCGTCTCACATTTCATCCATAAATATTAAATCTTGGCTTGGTTGCTGGGATAGAAAAAATGGAGATATCGTGTGACGTTTTCCTGCGAGGCTTTCCGGGAATCGGTCAATTTTCCCGGTGATCGCGTCGCCTGTGTTTATTGAAACACTATTTCTCAGTTGGCCGCCCCCGCGCTGTCATTAACTATATCATCCACCGACACGCTTAATGACCCTACGTGACTTGTCGCGTGGAGGCCACAGGCGTTTTGTCATTTTATCCATTATCGCATTTACTTTTCTATTGGTTTTAGGGCTCTATGTATCTCTTAGGACGTTTTTATTGCCATATCCGGAGCAATTTGGCAAGTTTTAATAGCTGTGATAAACGGAATCAAAATTCACCTAGATATCAAGAAATTGGGCTTACCGTTTGCTACCTGTACCAAGTATTATACCTATACCCTACAGTTGAGGCTCTCGACAAACATCTTGACAAAACACAGAGCCCTCGTGGCGAGTAATCCGCTTGCGGTGCCCAGGTCAAGCGAGACATAGGCCTCGCCTTGGATGGCTTAGGCGCCGTTCAGTACTAAGTTGCTGTAAGCTGGAAACTGTTGCGTACTTATAGTTGTGCGGGGACTTAGGACGTAGCATTTAGTAAACGGGACGGTAGAAGAAAAAGTGGTGCGTGTGTTGTTTACTTTTTTCAAAATTGATAGAATCATGTTTTGGAATTTATAGTATAAATAGTGTTTATAACATACAAGCTGAAAGTGTACTGAGAAATAGATATTAAGTTTGTCTATATGTATTTATTTTATTTACAAGAGATAGCATTAATATAGAGCTGAAACGCTTTTGATACTAATCATTAGATGAAAATAATTACACAATAATTGCTCCCTCGCGTTCGCTCCAGAAAATCCCCAGCGTCCCAAACGTCGCGAGAAATGACAATACACGGCTAGTTGTCATTCCTATTTCTTTTCGTTTGGTCATTCCGCACATTGTCAGGGAAGAGGTAGGCAGGATAAGCGAAGTGGACATTGACAGAGCGAATGTGTTGTGTATAGGGACGCAGTCACGTAATCGGTTTGTTGAGGGAGGTCAAGGACCTGTTCGCGAAATAGAATTCTTGGAACTATAGCGTTGGAATTACGTTAATATATCACTTTCTACAGAGTAACGTCGTATGAGCACATCAATCAAAACCTTAAATCGATCGCTTCGGATACTTTAATCGGGTATCAGCTGCTTGATACGCAAATTGTTTTTTTTTTTGCTGTCTTTTGTAATGAGCCGGTTGCCATGCGTTAATCAAATAAACGTCGATGTTACAAGAAAAGTGCTGCAATATCTTAATAGGAAATTTTTGTGTTTCGATGATATAAAACAGAGACGGAAAACTCGCTTTCACATTATTTACAAACCTATCGGCGAGCTCTAACCATGATGTGAACATCTATTATCAGTTTCCGTACACCACAGACTAAACCAAACGTGGTTTTCAAAACAAATAATGCGCTCGCTACTCTGTGTTTGACCACGGAGTATTTCCCTCTGATTAGCGTTTTTCAATAAAATTATCACTTCACGGGATTTATTGCAACAATATCTATTTTAACGGTAAATAATATTTACCCTCCCGACGTTTCGGCTCGGTTGCACGAGTCATGGTCGCGGGCAGACTGAAGAGATGCGGCGTCGTCTGCTCCGGCGCGATGAGTTTTCTTCACCCACCCGCATTTGCACAATATTTTCGTCAGTGGTACAGTCAGTCCGACAAACTACACTAACAGTGTCCGGGTTTCTCTGAGACGGCCTAGGACGCGATTTGTACTTCGTTATCACCGGATTCCACGCTGATGATAGGTTAAATCCATCTTCTCGATTGAAATTCTTATGCTTTTTAATTTCAATGGCTTCACGTATCAACCTAACATGGTAATGCCTGTCAGTTGAGAGGATTTTCGGGTCATGAAGTTCCATCCAGTGATTAACGTCCGAAGTTAACAAATGTTCAGCTATCGCAGATTTGCACGTCTGTTGGTTCTTTACAGCCGCTATGTGTTCTTTGACTCTTTCAGCTATAGACCGCTTAGTTTGTCCTATATAAGAACTACCGGAGCAGACGACGCCGCATCTCTTCAGTCTGCCCGCGACCATGACTCGTGCAACCGAGCCGAAACGTCGGGAGGGTAAATATTATTTACCGTTAAAATAGATATTGTTGCAATAAATCCCGTGAAGTGATAATTTTATAGTAAAAAAAAAAAATGCAACATAATAGTTTAAAATATTATATAGCGTTTTTCACTCGATCGAAATCGGAAAAGTCCGTCCTTTCCCACCTTGTTCAATAAGCTTGAGTCAATGTTTGCAGATTCCAAAGGCAACGATATTAATTGATCTGTGCATTTAGTTTTCCGAGTTGATTGAAATCCTTGAACTAATAATTGCGATTTAGTGGAGCGGCGGTAACTGGATGAAAGTTTGCGAAGACGACTAGGTACCAGGGAAAGTCAAGAGGATGGAGGTTCGTAGTCTTTGTCAACAGCCGATCAGACTAAACTTATTTGTTGTAAAATAGGTCTTATTGCAACTACATAAGGTGCCACAGTGTTTAGCCTGATGTGCTTTCATCTGTACCTATAATGGTATTCTAAGGAAAATAATAAGACATGTAATTAATCACATTTCGTGTTACCATGTCAATTACATTTCTACTCAGCCCAATTTGATTGGCCTGGCAAATAATGACACGCTTTGTGTGTACAATAAACAATAAATACCTAGGTCAAATTTTGGACCATTTTTTCAGGCACGTAAATAAGGATGTCTATTTTGATGTTTGGTATGTTCGCCGTTAATTTTAATTGTGCTTTTTGTTATGACTAAGTTACAATGTAGTAGCTTATCATCTTCTTTACAAAAAATATATCGTTTCAGCCGAAAGACGTCCACTGCTGGACAAAGGCCCCCCCAAGGGTTTCCACAAAGACCGGTCCTGCGCCGCTCGTATCCAGGCGCCTCCCGCGACCTTCACCAGATCGTCGGTCCACCTAGTGGGAGGCCTGCCCACGCTACGTCTTCCGGCTCGTGGTCGCCACTCAAGAACAAAAAATATACAAGTAAAAATTTATTAATAAGATACATACGACCATTGCTCGTCGCAGTTCCTCACGGGACATGGCAACTTTAAACATAAACTTCACGAATTCAAACTAGTTCCGTCTCCTTTTTGCGAGTGTTCCACTGATGATGTCTGTCATGAGCAGTCTGCCCATCATATCTTGTGGGAGTGTGATCTTTGGAAACATGAACGTGATATAATGCTTAATTCAATACAACATACATCTGTTTCCGCAATTTATTACACCGATCTTGTCGCGACAAGGAAAAATTTCCGTGCTTTTAAGCGATTTTGTGAAAAATATTATTGGCAGGTAGTTGCTAATTACTCATAAGATAGGCCCCCTTAATTTAATTTATTGTCCGTGGTGCATAATCTTTTTCTTAAAGGTTTTTAAAAACCTTTGTTTGTCACCTGTCATCCGCTTTGCAATGGAGGGAAGTCGAACCTTAATTTCGAACTCCTCCTATGTTCTTCTGATTAATTT